CCCCCCCCTCCTTGCATTTCTGGTAAAACCTTGATTATAGTCACCCCCTTCCAGGGGCGGATGCACCCCCTGCACCCCTCCCCTGGATCCGCCCCTGCCTTCTTAAATCCCTGGATCTGCCACTGAAATGAAGAAATAAATCTTTTTATTTATACATGGTAAGCTTTATGTAAAGCTACAAGCTTGCTAATTCAGCGTCTTCAGGAAGGCTGTCTTACAGTAAAAATGTACTGTCTTCGTAAAAATGAAAGGCAAATTATCTGGATTCAGGATAAACCCCGGGAGATAAACTAATGTGTAAAATGTAAACCTCGCCGCCATTATATCATAAACTTACTGTTATATAGCGTTATATATTCCCAACTACTACTCACCGTCTTGGTTAAAACCTTCTGGGGCAGGGATTTCTTTAAAATTCAATTCTGAGCATTTCTTAGCTAGTATTCTCGTCAAGTTAGGTATCTGGGAAAATACTTGCACAGTCCTGGTAGCCATGACTGAGAGGGCCCCAAGATCTATAGCTGCGTGACAACAACGATTGCGTGAGAGATATCAGCTGGAGTTCTTAGCTGCTGGGCTCCCTGTGTTTTTGTTCTGATGCTGTTTCTCGGCTAAGTTTTTATCTTTATCTTTTTTTGTTTATCCTTCGTGGTAGTACATTCGCCTCTCTCATATCTATGGTCTTGGGTTTATAAGGTATCTTGATTTGATTTTTTTTTGCATGGTTCGGTAGCTTCCTCCTTATACAAAAACCACATATGTTAGTTAACCGGACCGAGACTTGGATCAGACAAATCAGACAAAAGGTTGTTTTGAAATTTTGTTAAATTGTTAAATTTTGAAGGTTTAAAAATCGCCCCTTATTCCTTTCTACTGCTTTTGCTTGGGCTTCCTGTGACCTGATCGGCTACTCTCGACTATTCACGAATTCACGAGGTCACGTTTCGTGCCGACGCTATTCCGACCTTTGATCCGACATTGTATCGATTGGGTGACATGATGTAATAAATGAAGCGACAAGAAAAAGCAGATGGGAAAGATGGCCGGTTGATCTTCATGAATGACCGTTGCCTCCACGTGTAGCCGGCAAATAATTGCTTATGCCATCGCCAAAGAACCTATCTTATTCTCCTTTCGCCATCATGAATCGTGGAGAAGTAATCGGGGCTCTTAACCGGTGGAAGTGGCCTGTAGCTGGTGTAGCAGCTGCTTTTGTAGGGTCATTGTACACGTTGGGATTCAGTCAGGTTTTTCAACTGTACGCCTCTGATGACAAAGAAGTAGCTGGCACTTCATCTTATGGCGTCAAAGGACTTCTTAAAAAACTAATACATGACTTTATCCAAGGAGGAAAGAGCCCTGACAATCCACCGTTAAGTCCCAGCGAAGCCAGCATGATTATCAGAAAAAATGAGAAACGTGTGGATGTGAACAGTGGGGTGGTTTATTACTACGATACCAACAACTTGGCTTCAAATAACCCCATGGAAGATCGTAACACAGAATGCAGGATAATAAAGAATAACGGTTTTCTCTTTAGTGTGTTTGATGGCCATGGTGGCTGGCAGTGTGCAGAGGCTGTGAAGAATCGCCTTCCACTTTATATTGCACTGTCTTTGCTCGAAAAATCTGAACTCGGGAGATTTGAGAAAAAAATTATCAAGGATTTACTATTGGCCAGTTTGTATAGCAATGGAAGTACTTCAGCGAGTTCAAATACTAATGAGACATCGTCTCTTACTACTGATTACACTTTATCTAAAAAGCAAGACATTTTTCATACTGGGCCAAAGTATCTAGTCCAAAGTCTGAAGGACGTATTGAATGGTGATGACAAGTTAACCGCAGAGGAATCCTTGAGCCTTGCTTATTCGCAGTTGGACGACGATATTTCTGCAGAAGCGATTCCTCTTAAGATGTTGGATGATTCTTTCGTAATTGGTGCAACTGGTGCTTGTGCAGTTTCTGCTTATGTTGAAGGAGACAGTATCTATCTAGCAAATTCTGGTGAGTTAAGAGTATCCCCTCTCCCCCAACCCCCTCATTTTTATCTGTCATTGGGCAGTTGCATTTTTAGTCCGCACACCCCCTATTGAGGACATTCGGAAAATCCAAGGGAGGGGTATCTTGAGTTCCCTGGAAAATCCAAGGGAGGGGTGGTCTGTAAAAGTTGGATTTCCAAGGGAGGGGTATCTTGAGTTCTTTGGAAAATCCAAGGGAGGGGTGGTCTGAAAACGTTGGATTTCCAAGGGAGGGGTATCTTGAGTTCTTTGGAAAATCCAAGGGAGGGGTGGTCTGAAAACGTTGGATTTCC